TCAATCACATTATAAGAGAATAAAGCTAACCAATAAAAATTATTTAAAAAATGAAACATCAAGGGAAAAATTTTATGAAAAAAAGTGAATTGATTCCTATATTTTAGTGGTATAAAAATTTAAATTTCAAAATTGATATTTTTCAAATTTCTAAATTTAAAATTTTAAAGTATGAGTTTAGAATTAGTTCTACTTTTTTGCCAATAATTTTATAAAAGTGTTTCATTAATGTATCTTTAAAGCACACGTTAAAACGAAATTTTTTTTATCACATATAATTTTATGAAAAATAAATAATATTTTAAAATGAGTTATGCTAGGGACCCCAAACAAATTACCAAATTTTCTACCAAATCTCTCACATGGGTGTGGGACCCACACACATTTGATTTGTGTGAATCCCACACCCATGTGAGAGGTTTGGTAGAAAATTTGGTAATTTGTTTGGGGTCCATAGCATTTTCCTTTTAAAATATATTAACAGGTACAATAAGAACAAGTTAGCAAAATTTTTATTGCCTCCGAGTGGGGTCTTGACCATAAAAAGTTTGATGAAAAGTTAGTAAATACATTTTATGGGCTTCATAGCTCAAACCAGGCCCAAAACTCAGAGCCTGCCAAATTGTGACGGAGACATCGGAAAGTGGGCCAGAGCTTTGTCGTTGTCTTTTTTAATAAATAAAATAAAAAAGAAAAAGAAAAGCCCGTTGGACTCCAAGAAGGAAAATATTAGTATGAATTTCAAATAATGTATTAAATTTTTTGTCAAACCTCTCGTATAGATGTGAAATTTATACAAATTCACATGTGTGTCGATCCCATACCTATGTGAGAGGTTTAATAAAAAATTTAATAAATTATTTGAAATACCTAACCTAAGAAAACAACAATTTGCCCCCCTCTCTCTCTCTCAATTGGAAGTAGATTAGGTTTTTTTAAGTCTAGGTTTGGATGATAGCCCGTTGGACTCCAAGAAGGAAAATATTACGAATTTCAAATAATGTATTAAATTTTTTGTCAAACCTCTCGTATAGATGTGAAATTTATACAAATTCACATGTGTGTGGATCCCATACCTATGTGAGAGGTTTAATAAAAAATTTAATAAATTATTTGAAATACCTAACCTAAGAAAACAACAATTTGCCCCCCTCTCTCTCTCTCAATTGGAAGTAGATTAGGTTTTTTTAAGTCTAGGTTTGGATGATATATTCAGCTAGAAATTTAAAAATAAAAAAGAAAAATGTGAGATAAATATAAATATAAATATAAATAAAATTAAAATTAAAATTTGTTTTCATTTTTAAAATTTCTTTCCAATCTGTTTTTTTAGAAGGTCTCTTTCCAAATCTATAATTCAAAGCTAATGAATTTGTATAGATTTTGTTACATAAGTAGGATGAGAAGAAAGGAAACGAGGTCCCTGCGGTGCCTCATTTGCTGTGGTGCCTACTGTGCCAATGAAACGGCACCGTTTTTCTCATCCTTTTTTTATTTTGTTTTGTTTTTTGTTGTAAGAGTTTCAATAATTCTTATTTTATTATAACATCTAGCTGCCGCTGTCAAGCAATGGTTTTTGCTTTACATCTTCTTTGTCCCAAGCAAAAGTCTTTGTTTTACATGGAGTAGAAAAATTAGTTATTTATTTATTTATTTTATACATTTTTGTCTTCCCTCAAACAAATTGAATAATGTTCTTTGTCTTTGTTTCACCGTCCTTTTCCTGGGTTTACAGACCATTATTGTTCAACAAATTGGTATGTGTCTCTCTCTCTCTCTCTATATATGTATATGTATATATGTTTGTATTTTATTTTGTACAATGTGTTAGTCTAATGGTTCAACAAGTATAATGGTTTAGTTCAGTGGCGTATCCAAGAATTCAGTGAAAATGGGACACAAATTAATGACAACATTAATTTTTATTTTTATTTTTATTTTTCATAATAAACAACAATGAGATATTACTAAACTTAAATATTAAGAATTCATTTGGATAAATGTGAATTTTAAATTAAAGAATTTGAGATTAAATTTTATACAAATATTTGGGAGTAACTATTTTATAGGTGGATTGAAAAATTAAAAAAGAAGATAAGTTGAGATAGAAATGATATATTTTAGTAGAGAAATTTTATACAATATACCACAAAAAAGTATCTATCATATGTCGCAATTATGATTTTCGTGGTCTTTAATTATGACACATTATAGTGTTAGGTATAATTTAGTTATAACTTTTTGTGGTTGTTATTTTGGTTATGACTATATATCAATTAATGGTTAGTTATGACTCATTCTGATATTAGATATTATTATTATTATTGAAGATGTGTTGCTTGATTATAATTTATATAGTAGTCATTTTAGTTATGAATGAAAAGAAACACATTGAGGATAAACTCCACATATCAAATGTAACTAACAATCCAATAAATTTCATATCTTCATTGAAATTAATTATGTTTGTATGTCAATAATGATAGACATCACCATTATATTGAAATTTTCATAAATAATAATATGACTTATCATAGTCTCTTTATTTTCAATCAAAATAACCATTATTATTCTCATAATTTTAAAAATGCCATTGACATTTCATTTTAAATAATATTTTCATAAAATTTTTTATTTAAAATATTTTCTTTAAGTTAAAAAAAAAAAAAATCCCAAAACCCAAAGGGGGCACATGACCCTCCTGGGCCCTATTTGCCTCCGCCATTGGTTTGGTTTGTTTTCTGTGAATGGATTGAGAAACACAATTGTATATTATAAGAAAATTTCTTTATTATGTAATTTGTTTTGTACATGTTATGTATTTTTGCATAAATATTATATAAATTTTTTAAAGAGTTACGATAATTTGTAATTCATAAATTTTTTTTTATAACAATGTTCTGCATTTTTGTAATAATGTTATGCATTTTGTGGTCTAAAAAAAGTTTCAATAAAAAAAAGTATAACCTTACTACAAAATACGAATTTAATTTTTTAATCATAAATTGTCATAACTCAATAAAAAATGACATAACATTTGTGATTTAAAAGCTTGCATTTACGACTACGAGAATGAGCATGAATTAATTGAAGTTTGGAATTCTTTGATTGATAAATACAACTTGCAAAAGAATGAGTGGATGAACAGAACTTGGAGAAAAAGAGAGCAGTGGGCGCATGTGTATATGAAGTGGGTATTTACTGGAGGAATGCGAAGCACGCAACTTAGTGAAAATCTAAATGGAACATTAAGGGGATATTTGAAAAGTGATCATAATATTGTTCAATTCTTTACTCACTTCAATCGAATTGTTGTAAATAAACAATATGAGGAAATTTCTGCAATATATGATTTTAGACAAAAGTTGCCAAGAATGAAATTGAAAAAGTCTCTAACTTTAATCCAGGTTATGAGTTTGTACACCCCCCTATCTTTGACTTATTTCATTATGAGTTGGATACGTCCCTTTGTTGTCAAGTGAACCAATTCCATGAGTTAGAAGGAGAAGTTAAGTGTGTGATTGGCTTGTAGGTAATGATGAAGAGTATATTGGCCCTGTTTGATACATCTTTTTTTCAGCTTATTTCAGCTTTCAGCTTAATTTAAGCTATTTTGATATGTTTGATTTAGCTTAACAATGCAGCTTATAACTTTTTGTAAGTAAAAAATCAGCTTATTCTTTGAGTGGGGCAGGATAAGCTTAATTTATAAGTCAGAAATCGGCTTATGTTCATAGTTATAAGCTATAAGCTATTAAGGCATAAGCTATAAGCACTTTCCCACAGCTCTACCAAACAGGGCCATTGTAGAGGGTAGGGTGGAAGTTACTGGGCTAAGAGGAGAAAAAACCTGTTGAAAAATACATTATACTTGTAAGAAATTTGAGAACTTTGGAATTTTACGTAGTCATAATCAAAGCACTTGATAGAATGAATGTCATGGAAATTCCCGAAAGGTATATATTAGGTCGATGGAGATCGGATGCAAAAAATTGTCAAGTTGAAGAGGAAAATGTTATAGTGGATGAGGATGATCCGAAGTTATTAATATTAGCACGTTATAGAGATCTTTGTCTAAGAATGGTGAAACTAGCAACTCAAGCATTTGTGCATAAACCTGCCCATCAATTGGTTGATGAAGGGATTAAGGAATTGTGTGTAAAAGTGAATAATATGATGAAGGGAGTTGGAAATTTTGGTACCAAAGAATTAGATGTTGATGACCCCGACTTTGCACAAGTTAAGGGCATACAGAAGAAAGATATTAGACACAAAGTGTGACAACTCCGCCACATATAATATTTTATATTTGGTTAATTAAGGAGATTTGGGATTTTAATTAGTCGCTATCCTGATTTAATTTGGGATTTATGAGAATTGTGGAATCCGATTTGTGTATGATTCTATTGAAGATTTATTTTAAGGGCCCGAATTTGAGTTAATTATGTTAATTAAATTATGAGGATTGAGAATGGTGATTATTACGAATTAAATTTATTTATGGGGTGTCAAATTTGAATATGTAATTTATTGACGGAAATTTGGAGTCTGATTAGAAATTGAAGGTCTAAATGGTTTGGGAAACCAAAATTGATGATGATAATGAATTTAATTTAATATTTGGAGCCTTTTGGGAGTTTGATTAAAAATCTGATTCAGAGTGACAAAATCAAATATAATTAATTGGGCTATACTGGAAGTCAAATTAGACTGATTAAATTATGTGTGATTTGTGATTAGTTATGATTAATTTAATTATATGCTAATCAAGATTTGTTTTAGGCTAAGTGTTGCTTAATTAAATTAATCCTAAGCATAAATTGCATTATGGAACAAACTAAAATTTGTGGGTGTAGGTGTACTGAAAAATTTAGGTGGGTGTACTAAGAAATCTGATTGTGAATGTTGTGCTGGTAGCTTCAGTCAATGTGCACGTGTGTAGTATGAATACACTTAGAGAAGTTGTGTGTGCGTGTTTTATGTGCTGGTGAACTTAATGGGTAGATGTAATTCATTTGACCCAAAACATTTAGCAGAGCGAGAGAAGAGAGAGAGAGCTTCATTACTTATACATACAATGTAGTCAATTTGCTGGTGCAAAACCGTGAGAAAGGAAGAAAGAAAGAAAGAAAAAGAAGAAGAAAAGGAAAAGGGGAGAACTCAACCAAATTCATTATAAGGTAAGGAATTCCATCCTCCTAGTTTTGTTTAATTAATCTAGACAAACATTGATTCAAGGTGGATTTTGAGAGGATTAAAAATAAAGATTTGAAGATCAATTATATAAATTGATAAAAATTGGGTCTTGCATGGTCAATCAAGTTAGATTGAAAAATATGAGTTATGGTCCTTTAAATTTGTTATGTATGAGTTTAATTTTGGGAATCAAGCTTGAATTGAGTCCCATAAATTACATGCAATAAGGATTATTTGAAGATTTGATTCATGCAATGGGGATATGTTCAAATTTATGGAATAAACTTAGAAATTAATTATTTTGGGTTTGATTTTGCATATCTTATATGGATTTGAGTCTTATTTTCACATGCATGTAATTTGGGGAAATTAAAGAATTAATTCATGAACATGGTTAAGGTTAATCAATATGGAAATAATTATAATTCTTCAATTGAACTTGGGATTGGAAACTTTGATATATATATGAGATGTAAATTTACATACATCATAAATTTCTTGAAATTGATTTCATATTTTGATGAAATAAGAACTAAGCTTTGGAAAATTTTGAGTTCATGAACAAATGAGTCCAATTTTTAAATTAAAAGAGTTTTGATGTAAATGATCTAAAATTGATAATGCTTTTTTGATTAATTAAGAGTTTGTATGTTTCTAGACAAGTCATGTATGAACCCAAGTTTTGAGATTATATTTTGAAAGTTTAATTCATATTTTAGAATTTGTGAGTCTGGAATTGGGTTTGATATGAAAAACATAAATTGAGTTGAATTTGATGAACTTAAAGTTTGTATGCACAAGCATGTAAAGGATTGTCATGAATTTCCATATTTGAGTACAAACATGCATTTCATAATGAATTGAAGGCTATTTGGCACAAGTAAGCATGATAATGTTGAATTTCATGAAGTTGATCATCAATTATACTATTTAAGTTAAAAGTGAAACCTATATTTCACATGCATGTATATTCCAAAATGATATGGAAATTAATTTGCATGAGTTTTGAAGATATGAAGTTGGTATGGGTTGTCAAGAAAAATGTGAAATAATTTGGGAATTGAATTGTGATTTTGGATAAATTAGACTCAATTTTCTTATATCCTCATATTGTATAAAGATTTCCATGACGTTGTATCAAGAACATGAGTTTTAGACCCTTTGAATGCTAAGTTTGAGCTTCAAATGCAATTCTGGAAATTCCAGAATTCGACATGTTCGCTCGAGCGGGGAAAATCACCGCTCAAGCGTGAAATGTTGGCTTCCAGAACTTTTGCAGACATTTGTGTTTTGTTTTCCGTTCTCTTTCATTTCTAAGCACTCTTAGGCATACATTGAGCTTTATAAATGACCTAAAGGGTAAAGAAAGAAGCCTAAGAGAAATAAATAGATTAAAGAATGGATTGAATTGTTTGTGACCAAATATGTGTTATGAATTGTGTAGGGTCGAGCACAAAGACAAATCCACCGGTAGAATACTATGAGTAATATCTTAGTAAAGATATGTTCAAGTATGTTGTTTTCCCAAACGTTACTTCTGTACATGCCTTATGGATTTGTATGTTTGAATTAAGAATGAGTATTCTAAATGTCAGTCTTTTGCTTAAGACTAAGTAAATACAAATGCGATCATGATCATAAGTATGAAACACACATAAATATGTTTGACATGAATGATTGGGCCAAAGGCCGTCTGACATAAATGATAGTCTGACATGAATGATTGGGCCAAAGGCCGTCTGACATGAATGATTGGGCCAAAGGCCGTATGACATGAATGATAGTTTGACATGAATGATTGGGCCAAAGGCCGTCTGACAATAATGATAGTCTGACATGAATGATTGGGCCAAAGGCCGTCTGAAATGAATGATTGGGTCGAAGGCTGTTTGACAAGAGCGAATTAGGCCTGAGGCCATTTGATATGTTTGGGCTTGAGGCCATTTGATGTATTAGATAAAAGTGTGAATGGGTCTAAGGCCGTTAGATATGTCTGTTACGAATTTCATTCATGTAACTTCTTTAGTTTGATATTATTCACTAGGCTATCGCTCACTCTCATTTATATGTGTGTAGGTGAGCAAAGAGATGTCCAAACCCAACCTCAGTGAAAGATATGAGAGGAAGTCAAGTTTGTGGAGTCAACCATGACATGCCTCATGAACAAGGCCTTAGTTTTCAAAACTATTGTTTTGACCCATTTTGTCTTCTTTTGATGGTCATGTTTGACCTTATTTGTATATAAGCTATGGTTTTGTATAATTATGGTATTACATGGATCTAGACATAGAATGTCTTTTATGTGGGTATGTTTAGTGTGAGTTATTAATATAAGAAATATTTTTGTTCATTCCATTTATGCACAAGTTCATTGGACAATTATTATCTTTTGCTTCTGTAACAACCCTCATCACGGTTTACCGAATAACCACTGATTACCGTTAAACTGAAACTGATTATGACTGATAAGTGAACTGAATAAACTACTGAACTGACTGACTGAAATTGAAACTGAATTAACTGAGTATGCCTGTTTTATTGTAATTCTATCTATTTGGTTATTTGATTATCTGTTCGTGTCTTTGTGTTTAAACTGCTAATTGAAGGCCTTATTAGTGGCCGAACCGGAAACCGATTAGTGTTTTATAATCATCGTGATTTATGTGAATTTATAGCATATTTATCTGAGAACTGATTAGGTATGATTAAATTAGATTAAATATTGTTAAATTGCATTGTTCTACTTATTCACAATTTTGCCATCCTTAGTGGCCACTACCTAGGACATCCTTGAGCCTTATTTCACTCAAACAAAACATTTCCTCAGCCCCTTGTCCTTGCTAGCCGACCAAGAGAGAGTGATAGTGAGAATAGTGAATTCAACATAGAGATTTGGATTGAATCTTGAAGAATCGAAAGCTTAAGTGCATAATTGAGCCTCTAGACTTGTAATTGAGGAACCTAGGTATGAATTTCATCCTTCTTATGGTGTATTTAAGTTCCTTCTAGCATGGATCATGGTAGTTTAAAGAGCTAAGTCAAGAATTGGTTCATTAATGTTGGATTGGAGCTCATTCCATGCATACATGTTTGAATTGTTGAATTTTGAGTTGATTCCATGGAGAATTGTCTCATGCATGCTCATGGTTACGTTAAGTCCATGTTTTCATCTTGTTTTTGTAAGAGTTAGCTCATTTGAGCTTGTATGTAAAGCTTTGAAATGATTTAAATTCATGCATGTTTGCATGTTCTTCATATTCATGGAAATTGGTTTGAATTGGATTTATTTGAAACACCCTTGGGCTTTGATTTTACAAATTAAGCTTTGAATCATGTTAAAGTATGAGTTTTGGGATGTTTTCTGGAAAATTGGCCCAAGAGGATCGAAATTTATGGTTTAAAACTTGGTTTTGAGCTTGAGGTTCAAATCTGGAATTTCCAGAATTTGGACTCACGCTCGAGCGGGGTGACTGACGCTCGAGCGTAGAAATCGTGCTCCCAGCATTTTGTTCTGTTTTGCAGTCCGCTCAAGCGGAATAATTGACGCTCGAGCGGGACATTGTGTCTCATGCTCGAGCGGGTGTCGAGCGCGATTTTCACCTATCCAGCACTTTTGACTGTTTTGCAGAACGCTCGAGCGGGTAAGTCTACGCTCGAGCGGAAACCTTTGTCTGCATGTCCGCTCGAGCGGAGTAACCTACGCTAAAGCGTGACCCCTGTTTTCTGAAAATGTTTTTAAAGTGCATCTTTGCATCCTCATCTCATCCTAGGCATTATTAGGCCTAGTTTAAGGCATCTTAACGAGGATATACACACCGAGACAAATTAGGGATTTAGTTATTATCTTTCCCAACTGTGTAGCTTAGTGTGTGTTCAATCTGTAACTGTGTAGGGTTGGCTTTCCGAGGAGACGCTCTAGCCTTACTGTAGCCCAGAACTCTGTGAGTAACAACTGTGTAAAGATATGTTCAAAATGATTATCTTCTGAACAACTGAACTGTACTGATTTCCGAACTGATTACTGTTAACTGAATGAATGTATGTCCTATATTCTGAACTGTATTGTGGCATCCTTAGCAACTACTGTTTACTGTTACTGTTACAGAGATCTCTGTCGGTTCCCTTGTTGGAACCACTACTGTTACTGATTGATGGCCATCATTTACTGTTCGGTCTTTTAAGGCCTACTGTTTACTGTATTGTTATGCTAATGGATGTATCACATATGACTGTATCGACTGAACGACTGAAATACTGATTTAATGAACTGTTTTCATTACTGTAAGGACATTCATTCTTAACCCCTTTACGCATTGTGTTATTCACTGGGTTTTAGCTCACTGCTCATATATATATGTAGGTGTACAGGCACCAGACCGTGGTTAGAAGCGTCGGGGTAAGCTCCAGTTTTGTCAAGCCAACCACTGTGCCTCACTGCGAGGTTCCGAGCCTGTCAAGCTACGGCTTAGGGGTGTTTTTAATTTCCCCCTTTAGTCTCTGTAACTGTTTTGTTTGCTGTACGGTACTGTTTAATAGGGATTAGGTCCCTGAGCTGAATGATTGTATATATGTGCATACTGTTTTGTCCGACTGTATATAGATTTGAATGAAAAGTCTTTTTGGCATACAGACTGTCACAGCTCATTGGACATTGTTTATTTACTGTATTGGCTTCCGCCAGCCTCTGTACTCTGTATTACTGTATTACTGTATTACTGTTAGGCAGGCCTTCGGTAATCTCGGATTACTGGCCGGTTACGGCGCTAAACCCATAGGGACGGGTTTGGGTCGTGACAGCTTCCGCTTTTGGCCCCATATGATTATGTAAAATTTGTTTTTCATCTGAGGCCGTAGGTAATCTAATGATTACTGGCCGGCTATGATCCTAACCTATAGGGGCGGATTCGGGTCATGACACAAAGGGAGAGATAGATTAAAACCTTGTCTTGAGATGATGAATAAGAAGACAAAAGTTATTTCACAACCTACTCGCCTTAGTAAGGTATTATCTACGTACTTTTGAAATTTCAAATGACATGCAGTTATTTTTATAAATTGTGTAAAGTATTGATAATTTTTTGAACTTCTTTAGACTGTTGGTCAATCAAGCAACACTACAAATGTTCAAAATTCATCTTCAAGCCAACCACAGGTTAGCTATTGTTTTATGTTATTTATTTATTATTATTTTTTTATAAATTGTGTAATGTATTGATAAATTTTACAACTTATTTAGACTATTCGTCAATCAAGCAATATCACAAATGTTTAAAATTCATCTTTAAGCCAACCATAGGTTAGTTCTTGTTTTATGTTATTTGTTTATTTTTTTAGACTACGTTGTACTAGTGTATTTACTTTTCACGGTGTTTTGTGGAGTAGGATATTGGGTGTCTCTATTGGCCACAATTGATAAATTATGGGTATAATCTTCTCACATGTAATACTAATCTATACTTACCAAGGTATCCACAATCACAACCTCTGTCTTTCCAAGCATCACATAGTCCACAAAGTTCTCGAGTAAGTAATATATATATATATATATATATTTGTAATGTAATTTAGTCCGCAAAATTTATTCTAATGAATTGTCTTTTCTTTCTTTTTTTTAGGGAATATCACTTAATCTAGCGGGGCATAATCCAATGGAGATCGAATTTAGAAATGAGAGTTTTTTTGATTTTTCTATTTATTCCCAACCGCCTCCACAAAAGTGACATTGGATCCACTTTCTAGTTTTTGTTTTGAGAATTGAAATTAAAGGCTTTTAGAATTTTGTTTGGATGATTTAGAATGGTTGATATAGTTTTTGGAATATTTGGCAGGAGGTTTTGAAGTTTGGATGCCTCATAATTTTGTTTTGTTTTTGTTTTTTGTTTTTTTTTTTTTTTACAGATGTTGGATGTGAATTGAATATATTTGAGTATATTTTGGCCTTAGGTTTGTTTGTTTGTTTGTGTATTTTTTTTTTAAGTTACATTTTTTTGCTTATGGTTTGATAAATTGATTTGTTCAATTATGATTTTTTTCCCTTTCAATTTCACTTTTGATGCATTTAAGCCAGTTTTAAAAGAGTCAAAACATGTATGGTTTGTTTGATTTTAATTTCAAAATTAATCTTTTGAAAAAAAAATACAATTTAGTTTGATAAATTGATTTGTTCAATGAATTATTTTTATTTTATTATATTTTCTATTTAAAAAAAAATTCAACACAATTTTTTTGCTAGAACTCCATGTGAAGCAAAGACCTTTGCTTGAGGGGGGGATAGAGAAGATGTAAAGCAGAGACCTTTGCTTGATATTAAGACCCTTACAAAAAAAGAAAAAGGAAAAAAAAAGGGAGAAAAACGGTGTCGTTTCATTATTTTTATTTTATTATATTTTCTATTTAAAAAAAAAATTCAACACAATTTTTTTGCTAGAACTCCATGTGAAGCAAAGACCTTTGCTTGAGGGGGGGATAGAGAAGATGTAAAGCAGAGACCTTTGCTTGATATTAAGACCCTTACAAAAAAAGAAAAAGGAAAAAAAAAGGGAGAAAAACGGTGTCGTTTCATTGGCATAACAAGCACGGTAGGAAATGAGGCACCGCAGGATCCCACGTCCGAGAAGGAATACTTGAGGAATTTATTGAGGAAAATATGAAGAAAAATGCTAGAGGCCCCAAATATTTTACCAAATGTCTCACATGGGTGTGAGATTCACATGAAATCTCACATGTGTGTGGGACCCACACCATGTGAGTTTTATGTGGGTCCCACACCCATGTGAGATATTTGATAAAATATTTAAATTCCGTAGCATTACTTAAATATGAAAAGGTAAATGGAGCAAAATTTAACTCACAAACTTTTTTTTTCTCTCCACAAACAAGTTACACACGATTCTATGCGTTCCAAGCTATTCAGTTTTGTCATGACCCAAACCCGCCCCTAAGGGTTTAGCATCGTAACCGGCCGATAATCCGTGATTACTGAAGGCTTGCTTAACAGTAATGACAATCATACAATATAAAGGGGTTGGCGGAAGCCAATCAGTAATAAAAAGATGTCCAATGAGCTATGAAAACCTGAATGAAAAAAGACTTTCATGGACAAAACTACATTCATAGTCATATACCAAAAATATATGTACAAAGTAGCATACAGGTTAGAGGCCTAATCCCCTCGTCATAACTGTATAATCGAAGTCTTAAACATTCTTTACATTAATAGAGACAAAAATGGTGAATTTGGAACACCCCAAAACAGCCTTGACTCGTACAGGTTCGGAACCTCGATATGAGGTGCGATGGTTGGCTTGACAAAACATGAGTCTAAGTCGACGCCTTTAGCTCTGGTCCGGT